CCAGAATACACCTTCTACCTCCGGAACAAGTCAAATAAATATAGCACAAAGAAGAACATTTGAATTCGCGAATACAATAAAAACAAAAAGAACAAGCACTATCACAAACACAAAAAAAAGGATAGTTGAACATAACACCGGATAAAATAGAGAAAGTCACAATGAGAACCTAATAAACAGAAACGGTAGATAACAAAACAGTAACGGACCAATAACAGTACAAGCACAAGTGCACAATAACGCTTCAAAAACAGAAGCACCATTCAACACACCTAAGACGCCTACTAGTGCCCTTTACAGAAATAACACTAAAGAACAAGTGGATGAAATCGTTGAAAACTTAAAATACCTTAAACCCGAAACCCTAAGTAAAATTAAACAAATAGTACTTAATGATACAGACCAGACTGACAACGAATTTTACTGAAAAAGCAAAAAATGTTACATCGCCTAGTCTCAATAGTACAAAACAGACACAACTGCAAAATGAACAGCAAAGGCACTTTAATCATTTTACAGTGGAATCTAAGGAGTTACAGTAGTAACAGCGTGAATTTAATACAATTTATAGAAACACATAACCCAGACATCATTTTTTTAAATGAGACATGGCTAAAGAAACAACAGAGTTATTAGCATATTAGAGGCTATCAATGCATTAGAGCAGACCGAGAAATGGGAAAGGTGGAGTAGCTACATTTATAAAAAATAACATCTGTTTTCAAAACATAAGACTCCCTAAACAGATTTAACACTGGAAACCTACAATGTATTGTCACTAAAGTCCTTAATATTAATTTTGTGTGGTGGGATGAAGAATGCACAGCCAAAATTGAACAAAGGAAAAATGCCATGCGAAAGTTTGAACTAGAATCTAGTTTAGAAAATTACATAGAGGCGAAAAAAATCAATGCACAGACAAATAGATTCTTGAAAAAAAAAAGAAAAAACCCAATTTAAAAAATTCTGCTCCATCATAAACAGAAATACGAATCCCTCTTTCATATGGAAAACATTCAAAAAATTTAGTGACAATAAAAAAGTATACAATAAAAACTCATCCCCGAACCCACAAATTGCCGCAAATATCATAAAAAATCTGACTGTGTGTAACATTCCAGCTGAATTCTCATTCCACTGTTCAAAAAATAAAAACCATCAATTCTACTTCAGAGATTTATGTATCGCTTTGGAAAACCGCAAAAATAGTGCTCCAGGAATGGACATCTCATATTTATTGCTCAAGAATCTACCAAGCTCAACACAACACTCACTATTAAAACATATACAACAACTGCCTATCGGGTATGCAAATTCCTAACAGCTGGAAAGAGCATTTGATATATCCAATAGTGAAAACAAATAAAGACCCAAACAACCCCAACAACTATAGACCTCTGATTCTAAGCTCGTGAGTAGGGAAAACACTAGAGATTTTGATCAAAAATAAATTAGAGTGGGAACTCGAAAGTAAGTTAACTTTTAACCACCTGCAGACAGGATTCAGAAAACCACACTCTACCCAAGACAACCTCGCTTTCATAGTTTCCAACATACAATTGGCTTTTTCACAAAAAGAAACCACGTTAGCAGTCTTCCTAGACATCAAATCAGCATACGACAACGTAAACATTTTTCTATTATACGAAACACTAATAAAACTTGGAATATCTAAACAAATTTGTAATCTAATTTTTAATTTATTGAATAACAGAACAGTATTCAATAGATAATGAAAACAATATACATGGCCCAAAGGTCACCTCACTAGGCCTTCCTCAGGGGTCCCCTCTAAGCCCACTATTGTTTAACATATATATAAATGAATTATATTCAATATTACCACAACACATACATTTACTCAGCTACGCAGACGATATGGCACTGATGATCAACGATAACAAAATATACAAAATGGCGGTAACATTAAACGAGTATCTGGAAAGAGTAAACGTTTGGATGAAAAGCCACAACTTTGAATTATCAGTGGAAAAAAGTTCAGCGATATGGTTTACGAAAGGTAATCGAATGCGCTCCACACCAATAATTAAAATTAACAATGAAAATATAGAGTTCAAAAACCAAACGAAATACTTGGGTGTCATACTTCATAAAAATTTAAAATGGAGCGCACATAATCTGTGTCTATCTGATAGACAATATGATAAATAAGGCTAATAGAGGAATACAACTTTTAAAAATTTTTGGGAAGGTTTCCTGGGGTGCCGACCCTGCAACCTTACACATGGCGTATAACGGACTAGTTAAATCCCATCTGGATTATGGTAACGTACTATTAAGTTCCTGCAATCAAAAAAACCTCAATAAACTCCAGAAGACGGCATTTCAAGGGCTCGGGATCATAACGGGTTCCATGAAGTTAACACCAACTAACACGTTACTAGCAGAAACCGCGGAAATGGACATTAACCACAGGCGGATCTGGTTATGCACTAAATTCCTAGCGGGAAAAATTAGAATTAAATCCCACCCCTTAATCATAGTATTAAAAAAACTAAAAAACCAATATGAGTCAGGCCAAGACTATTGGAGGAATAGAGCGCCCACCATCACCATAGAAGCCCTTAACATTTTGGAGGAATACATTCCACTAATCCATTTGGGACGAGCCCTACCGTGCTTCGAGTTTGATTACACTACTCAAACTCGGGCAGTGAAAGTTATCCCCCTTAACATAAACAAAAAAGATCACAATATTGAGCTGCAATTTCTACAAATTAAGGAACAGTTTAAAGACACTCATACCATTATATACACTGACGCATCTAAAGTGGATATGGGTTACACATCCCTCAACTGGAACATAACTACACATCCAGACTCCCTGACTACTTAAATATCTGCGCGTCGGAAGTAGCAGCGATTAACAAAGCATGCAACATAGTCATAGAAAAGAAAATCCAGAAAAGCCTAATATTAACAGACTCGCAAAGTGCTATAGCACAAATAGCAAAACAAGGTGTGGATGCTAACTCAGAATATGGCTGTCTCACAACAAGAAAGCTAATTCACGAAGCTGCAGAAAAAGTATACAATATTGAATTAGCTTGGATCCCAGGACACTCAAACATTAGAGGAAATGAAACGGCAGACACCCTAGCTAACTTAGGAAGACAACTCAGAATCCCACAAGATACGAAACTTACTATACCCGATATACTAACTAAGGCCAAAACAAAAATAAAGGAGAAATTCACACAATGTGGAAACAAACATTCATCAACAAAGGCAGGTGGTATAAGAAAATACAAGAAGAATTTCCGGTCAAACCATTCTATTCCAAAATCCCGTATATAAGCAGAAGACACGTAACAGCCATAATCAGAATGAGAACGGGACATGTAAGATATAAAGCTCACATGTTCAAAATAAGAATGGAAGATGACCCTTTCTGTGATTGTGGACAATATGCACATTTAAATCATATACTATTAGAATGCCCAATAAATGAAATATTAGGTTTTAATCTATATGAAGAGATAAGAAAAGCTGGAGTAAATGCCCCCTTTAGCATTCAATTAATACTTGCAAATATCAACATGAAAGTCATATACCTATTAACCTACTTCATTCAGACAAACAAAATAATATTATAACCGTTTCAGATCCCCAATTTTTAAAACCCTGGGTGCTAATCCTTTTCCGATGCAACATTTAGGGTGTGTGTAATGTACCTCCGTTGCCCGGGTACGAGAAAAGTCTATACATGTGTTGTGCTATCTGTCTGACGAACCTCCTCACACCACTTTAGAAAGGATAAGTAAAGGTTTTCATCAATCATAAATAGCAACATCTCAGCTCTAGAAATAATATAGCAGAAGATATAGATATATTTTACAGCATTTCTACACGTGAATTCGAGACAATACAGTGACTCGTACATGGCTGAGAGCCAGACAAAGTACAGTCATAACAAATGAGCTGGCGGATTGTACACGTGTACAGAAGCCATAAGGAATAAAGAAGAAGAATGTCGCAAGAAAAATTCGAATAACAATAAAATTAGTTTCGTCTGATCGTATGTGTTTATCATAGGTTCAAATTTATTGATAATTGTGACGAATTGCGTGGAGTATTTCCAGATACTAATTCATTTTAACCAGTGTAGAATACCTATGTTATATAACAAAACGGGTCTGCCGGCGAGGTATCCTATTGAATTAGGGAAAATTCATCTTTAATATCATTGACCTGTATGAATATCCTTATAATCTATTATGATTTTTATTGTATCACAAAATAGTAAAAGCTTGAAATACGTATTCGAATATCGTTATTATCTGAATTCGAATACACACCCCATCTCACAAGACATAGGGGATGCCATTTTACATTTTACAGACTATGTTATGTTTAAAATAACTGCAACCCAGAAACATCTCTATATGTATCTTGAAGGACGACTTGCGGATTAGATACAGCAGCAAAACATGTGATAATGGAAGATAATTAAGGAGTTTGTTGAAATCTACACCTAATTGACAACCCATAGATCCTTTTTTCAATTTTCTCATGTGTCTATGTTTGTTTTGAATTTGGTTCTATCATCTATAAGGTGGGTTTATGATACTTGTTTCCCATTAGCTAATTTCTGATCGAGTTTTACTAAACGCTTTCTAATTGGTCATTGTTGATCCGGATCATGGGTTTTGATCTCCGGATCAGGTGAAAAAATATGTCTTTGTAGCTAAACCAGGTGATTTATAAAGAATTTTTTTAATTATTTTTTTTAATATGGGGATTAGTGTTCCTTCTTACACAAATCGTATATTTTTTTGCTAGTTTGATACATATTTTAGAAAAAATCGACTTTATCCATTTGATCTATTACTAAAAAGATGCCTTCTCATTGGTCCATTGTGATCCGGACCAAGAATTTTGATCCCGCGGATCAGTAGTAAAATCGGGCCTTAGCAGCTAAGTGCAACTGAATGTAACCTCTGGTACTACCAATTAACAAACGTTCCATATGAATTCAGGGTGGTTACACGAGGGACGGAGGTCTAATGGTAGGCGGCAGCGTGTTCTATTCTACCCCTATCGACCCCAAACACCACCCTCCTTCAGCCACAGATGCCACCACCCCTCAGTCGGAAATTGAGACGTTGGACCGCGAGTTGGAAGAGAGCCGGGAAGGGGCGCTGTTAGAAACAAGGCTGTCTTCGTTGGTGTGGATATGTACTACCACGCAGTCCGCCACCATTGTCACTGTCATCGATGCCAACAACCCCGCGGAGTTGTTGAATAGCTTCGGGGTGTGCTCGAATCATGTGCTGTGTATCGCCAGTGTACCAGGTGAGTTCGTATTTCAAATAATTGTGGATCTCATTACGAAAACAGGGTGCTAGTGACGAAGAATATTCTTGATTATCTAAAATTTCAGTGCTCAGATTGTATGTGGTAACAGTTGAAAATAATAAAATCTCTTGGATTAGAGCATTTCTGGAGAATACCAACACCCTATATGAAAATAAGATGCTTCCTCGCAAGTCGTTTGGAAGACCAGCGGATAATGAAATGAAATTCTTAAGCCCGTGAAAAAATAAGCGCCGTCTCTCATGTGTTTTAATCACACTTGCTAAACATTTTTGGGTCGGTATTACGATACAAGGATCTTATAGTTGCAGCCACAATATACAGCTCGAAAGACAGTGTATTCTTTGTTCGTGTCGAGCATTCGAAAATGTTTATTTGAATCTCAAGGGCGTACTACAAAGAGAATTATATGTCAATTTTGATCAATGACAGTATCATTAAAAATCAACTTACAACGTTGAAGTCTGCTTTCGATACAAGCAGATAGAAAAAAAAGACATGAACCAATGCTTTGGTCACAATTTAAAATATTCTCATTGGGACACTTCTTAAAAAAAAACTAAAATTACATAATATCAGTGTGTATTTGATGAATATTTGGAAAAATAAAATTGAAACGTTGAAAATGGCGGTTAAAAGCCAGGTAGTTCACGATATGCACGGGCATACATAGCATTTAGCAAAGGCAGTTTTGAACACACGAAAATGACCATACACTTGTTATGAGCTTTTCTCGTTTTTTCATTTCACAAGTAGCATCCCCAAAGTACATTATTACAATATGTAGATGATTATGATGATATTTTATTTTTTGTGACTGCAACCGTTGAATTCTAGGTGCTAGTCCTAGTGATTATTTCGAAACTATTCCAAAGACAGAAAGCTTGAGTGATATTCAGATTAGTAAGGAATCTACAGATAATAAGGATGTTAAGAATGATACCAGTGGAACGGAAGAATCCCAGAAAACTGAGTCAAAACCTTTTGAATCTAAGCCAGTCGAAGAAACGGCTCAGGAAGTTAACGCGACTCCAATGACAAAACGGACCCTCGAGGAACAAGAAGAAACTGCTGTGGTAAGTTTAGAATTGCGAAACTGACATCAGGGACATAGGTATATTAGGAAAAATGTCATATCAACTGAGCTTGAAAATTAATCAGTTATTACAAGTCTATGGATAGACTCATTTCTGTCAAAAATGTATAGCACTGTTTTAATTAATGACAGCGACAGGTTAATTTTTGATAGCAGTATTGTAATGAGCAAATAAGTGTTTCAAAAGCATTGCTTGTATAAGTTGGCTACTCATTTTTTGTTTGGAAATAATTAGACGCTGTCTTTAATTTCCATATTTGCAGTTAAGCTATTGCACAACTTGTTATATAACATTGGTGTCATCCTGTTGGTGCTATAGGGATTATTCCACTTTCAGCTCGGAAAAGTAACTTTCGTAGAGAGGAACGAGACGGCTGTAAATAAACGAGATAAATATAATACGATAGAAACGCCTCCAAGTGATGATAACTCCAAGAGCAGTAGTAAGTTTGAGGAACCGTGTACCACATGTGATACTACTTTAGAGTCCGAAGCAAGCAAGACAGATAAAATGCCAGACACTGCAAAAACAGAAGTTCCGTTCAAAGAGAATGAACCTATTCCGAGAAAGGAGTCCAAAAAAGAAGACGAGCCACAGACCCAGGAGGTGATGTCTAGCGTGCTGCCCACGATGTGGATGGGCGATGAGAATGGCTACATCTACGTGCATTCCTCGGTCTCGAACTGGGCCATGTGGCTGCATTCGGTCAAGATGAAGGACGCAGTAATAGCAATAGTGTAAGTATTACATTAGAGTAATGGTAAATAAAGGTGTGTTGACACAATCCAACAAGGAAACAGAATGATAAATATGCCTCGACTCGCCCAGTTTCTAGCTTGATACAGGTTAAAGTCGTAATAGGATGCTGAACTTCTAGAATGCATTTATTCCACAAAAGCATAATACGATTCCACGTCATTAAACGATAGTGGACAGCATACATATGTTAGAACATGATCGATACATAGAGAAGCCCAAGTTTTTAGTTGAAGCAATTCACAAACAAAAAGGTTTGGTCACAAAAATGGAGGAAAAATTATTCAAAATGTTCAAGGTGTGGGTGGAAAGTTAGTAAAAAGTAATTAATACGTATGTGGCTTTGGTTGGCTAAAAACCACAGGATAAACAGGATCAATTTCCGGTGTTACATTAGTATGTGTATTAATCCAGACTGTTTTGTTTTACATGAAAGTGTGCTTGAATAACATTATCATCATTGGATACGTTCTAACTGTTCCACTACGTCAGTTCTGTGAATCAAGGTTTTCGAAATGTTGAAATCGATGCATTCAGTTGACACCTAGTAGACTAGGCTAGGTCATACTTCATGCAGCACGCTTAGCAGTGCAAGTGAACGAAACCAGTGAGTCATTTCTTCCCCTATAATTTGGGAAAGTAGATTCCTATAACCGGTCCTCCAGAGGAGTTTCAAAGAAAAAAATGGCGTAGAGTAAATTGACTCTTTACTATATAATATTACCCCTTGAAATCAAAAAACTTCATTAAATGACACTCCAAGCTTTAGGCATCACGGTCATATAAGTATGTTAGAAAGATATAGAAGCACCACGTTGCCTAGTAACCCGTGTGACGAGGCCACGGACGCAGCTGCGGCTTGCCGCGTTGCCATCGGCGGACTCTTTCTAACATGCGTATTGCACGGTTCTCGCGTCTAGTCCTTTTATGAGTAACCTGTATCAACCACCGTCGCGACGTGGACTTGTTAGCCTAATATTTTTTATCTGGTCCGTTGTAGATTGACATGCATATATGTACGACTATTTTAATTGTAATAGATGAGTAGTGTTACTGGAATCGGAAGCTTTTCGGTAATCTCCTTTCACTGATATCATAAATGCAGTATTTACAATCCCCTAAAATCCCCAATTTACAACTTCTTGAAAAACATTTCTGTAATCAATCAAGAGCCTCCGAAATGTCAAAAAATAGCATGATTATATTATTTTCAGACATCTAAATGGGCGTGTGATAGCAGCTTTAGCTTGTGGTCAGGTGGCGATTTTCAGTCGCAATTCGGAAGGCGAATGGGACCTGTCTAGGTACCATCTGGTCCAACTAGGTTTGCCCCACCAGTCGGTGAGGCAGCTTACTGCCGTTGGTGATAAGGTGTGGTGTGGATATAGAAACAAAATACATGTACTGCAACCTAGAGAGCTGAAAGTCATACATACATTGGAGGCACATCCGAGAAGGGAAAGTCCTGTAAGTACATATTTGTAACTAAGTAACTAAATATAGGTTGAAGCGCAAAACTATTGCTAAAATCTGAACTATTGCAACATACTAGTACATTCAAATCCATACTATCATCAGAAAATAGATATTACTTAAGCATTACAGGATGGGATGTATCTTTAATGTCAGCTCCATTTGAATGTCCTACACCAGAGTGTAGAAGAGTTCCAGAATATACAGATCAATCTGATTTGATCTTGTATTATTGTTATATTCGAAGTTAATTCTTCCATTAACATTACCCCTAAAATATTTTCTTATTTTCAGGTGAGACAAATGACGTGGTTGGGTGAAGGCGTCTGGGTTTCAATTAGGCTAGATTCAACTCTTCGTCTGTACCATGCTCACACCTATCAGCATTTACAGGATGTTGATATCGAGCCATATGTTAGCAAGATGTTAGGTATGAAATGTTATAATTACTTCTGTTAAAATACCCAACTATGGTATTTTGTCCCACGTGCTTGTTAAAACTTAATTGTAGCCAAATAAAAAAAAACATACAGCTTGACTGGCCTCCAACCTTCTATGAAGGGATGGGTAGTTTTTGACACAACACCTGGGAAACCTGGAGATACTCTGTAGAATTTTAAATGTGTCTCACTAAAGGATCATTAAGGAATTTATTTACCCCATAATAATTTATTATGTGAGTATACCCTCTGAGGTTATACTTCTTCCAGGTACTGGTAAATTAGGCTTTTCTCTAATTCGCATCACAAGCCTATTGATCTCATCAAACCGCCTGTGGATCGGTACTTCAAACGGCGTGATAATCTCAGTACCCTTGAGTGACAGTACCTCCACCAGTATGATGGGTTCTGTCCTAGCTAGAGGCTCCCTGCCAGGCGCTGGTATCAGAATGGCGCCTGTCCCTGGATCCTTCATACCCTATTGCTCAATGGCCCATGCCCAGCTTAGTTTCCATGGTCACCGAGATAATGTCAAGTTTTTTGTTGCTGTGCCGGGTAATGGAGGTGAGTAATAGTACAGAATTTACAGTTTCTTTAAATCAAACTTTACAATTATGGCAAGCGGTTGAAATAGGATGCTGATGATGCTTTGGCTTGAGATATTATGTTTTTTGGATGATATGACACCTAAATCACGAAAAAACATGTCACTAATTTCCGTCAGTCTGTCTGTTATTCTGTCCACTAATCCTTGTCCCACCTATAACTTCGAAAGTATCGCTCGGATTTCAATGAAATGTTCACACGAGGTTACTAGTATGCCAAGAACGAGCTTTGTAGTTTTTGAAGATCGGCCAAGCGGCGGCGGAACTGGGGGCAGAATCTAAAAAAAGCACCCAAACGTTTTTGACGTTTCAGAGGCTCCTCATCATTTCCAGAAAGGTTTTTGGAGTGTAAAATCGAGGGTTGGAGATGGGTATATCTCAACTTTTGGCGATCTTATATCTATATGCTTCCAACCCCGGTAATTCTACGCAAATACGCACCTATTAAACATATTTCACATATCCGATTCCGTACATTCGCCCTTAAAACTTAAAATGACCGGAGTCGTAGTCTTCCCCATGAGTGTTGCCCCGTCACTACCACGCTGACGAGTTTGACGAGTGCATTCATCGAACGGTGAGATATGAGGGGAGGGGAGACGTCTCCAGATGGATGCTACTATCAGCATAGTACTGTTTGACTGACTTGAACCGTTTAATTTATTTGTTTTACATGTTCGTACCTAACTTTTTTTCTCAGATGGCTCTAACGTGTGCCGAGCATAATAATTTATGTACTGATGACAATGTTGCGTGGGAAGTAGTCGACCTAATTGACTGCATTTTTTGGTCACATAATGGGCCTAATTCTGGTAGTAGTTGATAAGTAAATGGGCGTAGTTCAACGATCAAGTGGCCAGCTAGTCCTTTGTTGAAGGGTCAATGCAACATAAACTTCATACAATCTGTGAGGAATGTCATTCTTTTTTTCTTTGTTACTACTAGTAGAAGAAGACCTAATGTGCTAATTTAAACCAGGAGGACAATCCTTGGAAATGAGAGAGTAAAACAACTGATAGAAAATGGGCATGGTTCTTCTTCCAGGAAACTGTATTTCCTAACATTGATAGAAATCGCTTCTCAGCTCATCTTTGTGATTAATAGTAGGAGAAAAAGTGCGGAAATCCACCTCATTTCTAACACGAAACTAACTTTGTGATGAAAATTTAATGGTATAAAAAACCAAGGAACATTTAATATTATGCAGAAAATTGATACATTCACAAACTTATTTGACAAACGCCAACATCTGTCAGGATAATTTTCGAAAGGTAATAAAATCACACCTACTTTCTCTTGGTTGTTCCTTTCTTTCGTTTTCTAAAATTGGGCTATTCTTACACGTGACCAGGTCGAACTATATACAAATATTATAATGATGATTCAAACGACTTTGTTGAAATCAAATGAATAAAACGGTAAAAGCGGTACATCTAACAATTCTTATCTATCTAGTGATAAGAGCTAGAGAAATCTATATTTTCCACATAGGTATGAGTGCTGCGTCAACACCATCTGAAGCAATGTCAGCTTCTGTATCATCGTTTGGAAATGCTCTGAAGCAACCTACCGCAATGTTGGTCATTTCTGGTGGCGAAGGTTATGTCGACTTCAGAATTGGTAAGTGCAATACGTATTAGCACGCAACCTAGAACCCTTATTATACATTGGATCCATTAAGGTACGTCTGTATTCCTATTTCAAAGGTGAATCATGTGAAGAACGTCGACATACAAATTCAAATCAGAAATATCATAGCGAATTTCAGAGATCGGAAATACTGCATAAGAAATAGCGTCGACATATCGGTATGATTTCATTTGAAAATTGAATATTATTCAAGCTTTATAAATTTTTGTTTGTCATATGGAGTATAACGGGTTGAATACTTTGATCATGTTTTCATGGAATTGGTATATAATTGAGTTTAATGACACTGAATATTCCAATGGATCCTGTGTAAAACTTTTTGCTAAATTGCTTTTGCTTCCTCTACATGCATGAACACCACTGCACTGTATGCTCTTTGCTAGATATTTATCTTCGATTAAATGAAATACCAAGGATTCCTGGGAATAAATTCTTTGTTGGGTGTGTAAATAACAAACAACCGGCCTGTGCTTGGACAATGGAAGTAATCTTACAATTTTCAGTGAGTATTGGTTTACTGCTAAATATATGTCAGTGAATTATATCTTGACATCGTATTCCATAAAAGCATAAAAATAGTTTCTGTGACATTACTGCTACTAGTATAAAAATAAATAATATTTTGCCACTGAATTTTGTTAAAAATCAAGACATGCGAACAATATTTTTCTAATTTACATCCACAAATAACTGCGACACGATCAAAATTGCAACAATAAAATTATCAGTTATTTGAAGGCTGCATTATACAGTAGTTTACTTAAGCTAGCTGTGAAATGAGTACAAACATTCGCACATTAGATGCTGTGGCTTTATTTCGCTACATTAATAAGTTTTACAGGAGTATGTAATCTGTAATGCTGATTATCCATGCAGCATACATTTTTCGAAATATGTTCTAATACGGGACTTTCCTTTACAGACCAACATAAGCGATTTTTCCTAGTAACTCATTTACCAAAGTTAATTAATTTATTGAGTTAATAAGTTCCGAGAATATCTGAATGGGTCAGCAGGGCTCTGCATCCTATATCAAAAGGTACGACGTGTGTCAGTATTCAAATCAGTCGCCGCGCGGTGTGTAGGTTAACCTAGGAAATCGGATTAAAAAAGAAATTGGCCCATTCTTATAGCAGTAAGTCGATTTGATTTGGTTTACGGTGTCTTCAAGATACAATTGATACTTTTGATAGTATATTCAGATCGTTTTCGTGTATTTTTGTGTCCCGAGCCGCATATGTTTGTTGGGACAGCCCAATGTTGCATATTTAGAAAGAAGTTAACAAACGTATGTTTATTAATTTTACGGTGAAAAAGTATATACGAGTGACATGTGATCGGGTAGTACTTGAAATTTCTTGTCAAATGAATAATGAGTACTTTTTTCAATTTCCTATTAGCTTTGTCAGTTCAAATTTAGTTGTTTCGAAAGTGCTCTTAGGTTTCAGAACACTAATAGTCCTATCTTTTAGAACGCCCATTATTCAGGGTGGCCTGTAGTGGATATGCCAAAATGCTAGGTTGAACTCATAAAAATATTCATATTGAACCTAATGTGCCCTAGTACAATGTCACTCGTAAACGAAATACAGAGTGTTGTAGTAATTTTCAGAATAGCCTTTTCTCTTTTACTTAATCTATTGTGATGATATCACCAGGAAAATTGGAAGTGTGGGTCTCTGAGGAACGAAAACACGATTATATATATATATATATATATATATATATATATATATATATATATATACAATGTGTTTGGTCACGACATACCGATATTTGAGGGGGATATTTTTCAGTTATTTTTATCGACAAATCCACCCCCTACAATGTGCTACCTCACCCCTCTTGAATGGATCCACCGCTGCGAACGAAATTAGGGCTGACACGGATAAGGTCTGCCACATTGTTTTAAGAACAGTAATGTGCATAACCAATAATGGAGGACATTTTGAACAGCTTCTGTAACATTAAACTCGTCCAAACTCTCTATAAGAAACATTGATATGTCATTTTTATGTATAAAAGGTTTGAAAACAATTTGCATCTTATTTCACTCATTTTGACCCATGTTAGATAACATTTATTGCTTAACGTAGAATACCTAGGATAACAAAAAGCTGTAAAATTAGCACAAAAAAGTACAACTTCACAGACTAGTTTTTGAATCATGTGCGGAAATTCACAAAATAATCAATTTTCTTCTATATTTTTTCTGTTTTTGTCTGTTTTTAAGTATGTTTGACGGTCAGTATCTAAACAAGTTTTTCAATAATCGCTAGGACAACATGTCATCGTTCAAATGACACCAAATTTATCATTCTGTGACACTTACGTACTCAGTTATTACAATTTTCATACATGCACTACCGTAATCGTAACGTAAAAATAAAAATGGCTGCCATATCAAGGGCGATATGAGGTAGGACATTGTAGGGGGATGGATTTGTCCAAACACAATATATATATATATATATATATATATGTCATCAAAACGCAATTAGCGACTTTACTACTAAACGTATCTTGGCTGTCAGTTTACTCTAGTTTCAGTTTCTGAGTCGTTTGGAATTTTTTTTAATATCTTTTTGTACTATTTTAACAATAATTTTCCTTTACATAAAGCCTGTAAGGAAACCGGCTCAAAAAGTTGGGTTACACATAACGTAAAAAATTCAAGCAATAATTCGAAAGATTTATATTATACTTCACAAATAAATCCAAGACTAAAGTCACTGTATAATGATGCTAAAAAGGCACATAAAAAATTGATCAGAGGCAAAAAGATCATTATACTAAAACAAAATTGGATTGTCTAAAAATACCACCAAAGCGTGTTGGCAAGTGGTCAATGAAACTAAAAATTAGAACTCTGTTCGAAAAAATATAGTTCTACATAAAGATCAAAATGAAAAGTGCACGACCCTCAGCTGTTGGCAAATATGTTCAATGATTTTTTTAAAAAGGCTCCAGATGATATAATACAACAAATTAATACCTCAGATAGTACACCTGATTTCAAATTTAATCTCAAAAATGATTTCAAGCTTTGCCCTTATACAGATAACGAGCTCAGTGACTTACTTTTGAAAGAATTAAAAAATCCTAAATCTTGCGGTTTTGATATTCCCAATTTTCTGGTAAAAGAAGTATTAAATTTTATAGTAAAACCAATAACACACCTTATAAGTATCTCATTTTGCTGCGGAGAGTTCCCAAGTAGGTTGAAACTAGGTAAAGTTATACCAATTCTAAAAAAGGGGAACGAGCTTGATTTGCAAACTACAGGGCAATCACTGTGCCGGCTGTACTTTCTAAAGTGTTTGAATATGCCTTTTTGGATAGATTTCTTCTACATCTTAAGAACAACAATATTTTGTCTCAAAGTCAGCATGGTTTCACTGATGGTAAGACCACAATGTCAACCATACATTCCTTCTATGAGAAGCTTATAGAATACATCGACGCGGGCGAGTGCCCTACTGGGGTATTTTGTGATCTCAGTAGGGCATTCGACTGCGTTGATCACAGCAAATTCTTGGAGATTGTTGGTAAATATGGTTTTGTCGGTCAATCTCTTGAATGGGCCAAATCGTTTTTAGTCCAAAGAAAACAATATGTTTGAGTGCAATATCTTGATGCAGGGAACAATATGAAAAACTTTGTGTCAAGTACGTTAGACATTTCGATTGGAGTCCTCCAGGCTCTATTCTTCGACCAATCTTCTTTCTCTTATATATTAATCAGTTTGATAATGTTCATCCAGATTCTCATTTTACAGCATATGCTGATAACGTTTATGCCATAATACCAAGTAATTCAAATATAATTTTGGAAAATAAATGAAACAGCTTAATTCGGAAAATCAGTACGTGGTTTAACCAGTACTCCTTCCAAAACAACGCTTATTCGTTTTCATCATGCTCAAAAAACTGTAGAAGACTTTCAAGTTAGATTGGGTAACGATCAACTCGATTTTAGAGGAGAAGTGAAATTTCTTGGAGTTAATTTTGATTCGAACTTAAATTGGAAGGCACACTGCGAATTTCTCACATCAAAGATGTACTCTCAAAGCTATGCGTTGCGGTAATTAAAAACTATCTTAACAATTGATACAAGTTTATTTTGCTAATGAAGATTCAATATTAAGATATGGAGTATGTTTCTGGGGTTGGTCAACGCGCTCTGCACATGTATTTGTGTCTCAAAAACGATGCATCCGATCATTAGCAGGCATATCACCAACAGACAGTTGCAAAACATATTTTATAGACTTCAACATTTTAACTCTCCCTTCGCACAAAAAAATATATAAAAAATGGGAAAATAATGGGCAAATTCCGCAAAAAGAAGGAAAGTGGATTCGAGCAGAAAATAGGATAGGTAACCCGAGCGATACGTATTTCTGCTGGTTGGCTTTATCAGGCCCGAAATGAATGCACATATGTAACTACAAAAGTAGAGACACATGCCCATACATCCGGATACGGGTGTAACCTGAGGAAACGAAGATGGAGGGGAAAAAAGCACACACGAAGTCCACAACAAGAGCCAACCTAGACATTGTAGTATAAAATGGCTAGAAGATCTCGAATTTTCAAGGAGACATCTAACCACAACCACAACAAAAAAAAAAATAGGAAAATAATGTTATATACCTTTCTCCGCATGATCACTTTCTCTTTGTAGATCCTTTGGGCTTGAAGTACCACAGCAAGCGGCTATAACCGGCCGCGTGGTTGTGGTTAGATGTCGCCTTGAAAATTCGAGGTCTTCTAGCTATTTTATACTACAATGTGGGTTGGCTCTGGTGGATTTCGTGTGTGGTTTTTTTCCTCTCCACCTTCGTTTCCTCAGGTTACACCCGTATCCGGATATATGGGCATGTGTATCTACTTTTGTAGTTACATATGTGCATTCATTTGGGGCCTGATGAAGCCAACCAGCAGAAATACGTATCGCTCGGGTTACCT